CTATTGTTTCGGTCAAGATTAAGTTAATTCGAATTTGAACTAATATAATCTCTGTGTGTATGATACTTGGACTCAAAAATTCATTTTATTAACGAGTAGTGCATTTGCAATAATTTCAAACGAAACAAATATTTTCGTGACAAAAAACCATATTTTTTCTTAGTTAAAAACATGTCGAATCCTTAATTTTTTTTCTTTTTTTATTAAGTTATATTATCTCATAAATTATAAGAATCATGCTACAAGTACAGAATTTTTTGACAGAAAAATTTTACAGATAATACATGGCGTGACATCATTGGAATATGAGAAAAAAGAAAAAAAACAGTCCACTTATATTTTGCCATGTCAGTGTTGATATAAGTTCTGTTAAATTTTTCTGTAATTATGACTTTATTGAAGCTATAATAGGGGTCATGAATCACTTCATTCTGCACAATCCGTACAATGGACCGAAAATTTCAGTTGGAAAGTAGTTATTGAATCTGATTTATCGGAAAAAGGTTGGTGAGTAACTTTAAGAAACTTTATGTAGACATTAAAAATTATATGAAATAATTAAATGAATTTGGTCGATTTCAACTAGCTCAATTGAGTTTATTGAAGTCTAAAAGTCCATTAAGCCATGTCATGTTTGGTGACTTTTATTTCAAAAAAAAACTATATTATTAGTATATTTGGAGAACGTGTGGTGTGGTTAAAATGTAGAAAAAAATTTAAGTTTATATATAGAATATTTTATTGTGTAAATGTGTAGTTAAAAATAAATATGAAAAATAAATTATAATGTAAAGTACCACTAAACAGAAACTAAGTCCATTTATTTAATTTTTATTTAATAGTAAACTTAAATATAAATAAGGATTGTTACAAATTTTTTTTCCTATAAATAGGATCTAATGTACAAGAAAAATCACAAGTCAAGTGCATGAGAAAAAGACCCACGTTTAGGAAAAATCAGTCAAAGAGAAAATTCAAAATCTGAAGGAAGAAAGGAAGAAAAGAACAAAATTTTTCAAGTCCAAGTTCGGGATTCAAGAAGATCAAAGTTTTCTTTACATCAAAGCAAGTTCAAGTCAAATTCTAGATATTAAAGTCTTCAACAAGTCCATATTTATCAAATTCAAGATTCAAAATTCAGGAAGCAAGTCATTTCGCCCCTTGTCTTCAAGACTTGAAATTCCGGAAGAAAGCCTCGTGATCAATCTATCTTGTATTTCAAAAAAATAAAAGTTTTGTATTTTTATGCACGAAATTTATTGTACACTCTTAAAATTAAATTTCTAGTTCACCTTGAATGTATCCTACCAAACTTTATTTATAATCGGAACCAAGCAAAGTAGAGAATGGGAGGGAAAATTGTGTAGGAAATAGAAGTGGACTTAGGAGGAGGAAATGATTTTCTATTCAATTGTGGACTTACATTCAACTCAAGATTACATAGGTATTTATAGGACTTCCTATCACATAAGTTCATCCCCTCGATTTAATTCTACTACATGCACCACAATTTACTAGGTACACATTAATTAATAATACATGCATACATGAACCACAATTAACTAGGTGCATATTAATTAATAATACATGTATTTCAAACTTCTAAATTCATGAAACTAAATTAAATAGGTTAAATGCATGTTTATTTTTCTAACACACCCCCCCCCCTTAAATATGAAGTTTGCATACTCCAAGCAAGTTTCTTAATGCCTTGAAAGTATTGAACTTGAGAGCTTTGGTGAAAATATCTCCAATTTGGTCTTGAGACTTCACAAAATTAATCTTCACTACCTTGTTTGCAATGCATTCACGCAAAAAGTGATATTTGGTATCTATATGCTTGCTACGTTCATGAAACAACGGATTCTTTGCTAAAGCAATGGCTGATTTGTTATCCACACTTACTTCGGTAGGCTCTCTTTGTGCAAAATGAAGCTCATTCAACAAATTCCTTAGCCAAACTACTTGTGTAACACAAGAACTGACAGCAACATACTCAGCTTCACAAGTTGACAGAGTAACAATTGGTTGCTTCTTTGAGCTCCAAGTAAAAGCTATATTACCTATGTAAAAAACAAATCCACTGGTACTCTTTCGATCATCCATGTCGCTACCCCAATCACTATCACTGAAACCTCTAAGTCTGAAAACATTAGAGGCATAATAATGTAACCTGAAATCAAGAGTACCTTTGATGTAACATAAAATTCTCTTCGCAGCTTTCAAATGTGTTGTCGTTGGAGCCTCCATATAACGACTAACCAGTCCTACTCCAAATAATATATCCGGCCTTGTACAAGTTAAATATCCCAGGCTTCCAACTAAGCTTCGAAACAAGGTTGGATCCACCTTTGCACCATCATCATATCTAGAAAGCGTGATGTTACATTCTACTGGAGTGTTAACTAGATTGCAATTACTCATGTTGAATTTCTGTAGAACTTCTTTTGCATAATTTTCTTGTATGATGAAAATGTCTTCCTCCATTTGCTTCACTTCTATCCCAAGATAATAGGACATAAGTCCTAAATCCGTCATCTCGAATTCATAACACATTTTTCTCTTGATTTCTTCAAATGTCTTTGGATTGTTGCATGTAAAAATTAGATCATCGACATACAAACAAACAATCAGAACACCATTGGCATTCACCTTAATGTAGAGAGCATGCTCATAAGGACACTTGGTAAAGCCATTCTCCTTAAAATATTTATCAATTCTACAATTCCAAACTCTTGGTGCTTGCTATAGGCCATAAAGAGCTTTCTTTAATTTCAACACTTTGTCCTCATTTCCTTTTACTACAAAGCCGGGGGGTTGTTGCACGTAGACCTCCTATTCAAGATAGCCATTGAGAAAGGTTGACTTAACATCCATTTGGAAAATCTTCCATTTGTTTTGAGCAGCCAAAGCAATTATCAGTCGTATGGTCTCTAACTGAGCTACTGGAGCGAAAACTTCTTCATAATCGATGCCTTGATGCTGTTTGTATCCTTTCACCACGAGTCTTGATTTGTATCTTTCCACCTCTCCTTTTGAATTTTTCTTAGTTTTGTACACCCATTTAACTCCGGTGGCAGCATGTCCCTTGGGAAGAGTTGTTAATTCCCAAGTATTATTCTTCTCAATTGCTTCGATTTCTTCATTTATGGCTTTTCTCCATTTCTCATCCTCAGCAGCTTCATTAAAACTTATGGGCTCAATATTTACAAACAGACAGAAGAAAGTAATATCATCAATTCTCTCAATTTCTCGATATATATCATCAAGCATCCTTGTACACAAAGGCCTTTCACTTGAACTTCCTTTAGAAACATCAATTTCACCACGTGATGGTGATGTTGGAGGAGTGGTGGTCTCATGTATTTTTTCATTGTCATCTTCTTCTTCTAAGAAAGGAAAAAAATCATAGTTATCTTCTTCAACATGGCAATTCCATGTTGTTTCCTCATCAAACTCCACATCTCTACTAATAAACATTCTCCCATCACTTGGATTATAGAGCTTGTAGCCTTTTGTTTTTGAATCATAGCCAACGAACACACATTTTTTACTCTTATCATCAAGTTTCGAGGGCTTCTCATCAAGAACATGGATATATGCAATGCATCCAAATACCTTCAAATGAGACACTGCTATTTTTCTCCCATTACATGCTTCAAGTGGAGTCTTGTGGGCTAAAACCTTTGTGGCACACCGGTTTAACAAATAGACAGCACAATCGACAGATTCTGCCCAAAATTCTTTTGGCATTTTGTTTGTCTTCATCATGCTCCTTGCCATATTGAGAATTGTTCGGTTCTTTCGTTCAACAACACCGTTCTGCTGTGGAGATCCTGGAGCGGTTAGGAACCAACGAATTCCATTGGCATCACAGAAGTCTTGAAAATTTTTGGAAGTGAATTCGTCTCCTCTATCTGATCTCACAGCTTGGATTTTAAATCCACTTTCTTTTTACACAAGAGTTTTAAAATTCTGAAAGCACTTAAACACCTCCGATTTTTCTTTTAGAAAATACACCCATGTTTTTCTATTGAAATCATCAATAAACAAAAGAAAATATTTGTTCTTACCAAAAGAACATGGAGTGATTGGCCCACGTACATCAGTGTGTATCAATTGTAGTTGCTTTGAAACTCTCGATTGAGATTCTTTTGGAAAGACCTTTCTTGACTGCTTACCAAAAAGACACCCTTCACAAAGCTAATTTGGCTGATGTATTGGAGGCAAACCTTTCACCACCCATTGCTAGCCATTATTTTGAGCCCTCCAAAATTTATGTGCCAAAATCGTAAATGCCACAATCATGATGAGTCTTTATAACAAGACATCAAACACTTAGCCATATCAGTTTGTATGGACAACACAAATAAACGATTTTTCGCCATAGGTACTTTAGCAATCAAATTTTCTGCATCATCCTTTAAAAACACACTGCAACCTTTTGTGAACAAAACATAACCTTTCTCCAATAATTGACCAACACTCAAAATATTACTCTTCATATCTGGAGCATAATAAACATTTGAAATAAATTGGTGATTTTCATCTTTCATACGTATCAAGATTTTACCTTTCCCCTTTACTGAGATTTTGGAGGAATCCCCGAATGTGATATTGCCACCAACCTTCTCATCAAGCTCTATGAACAAATCTTTGTTCCCACACATGTGATTACTAGCTCCCGTATCAAGGAATCAAGAATGTTTTTCTCCTTGCTGCAAGTCCTTGCAAACTATCAAAAGAGTAGACTCTATCTCTTCATTATTTTCTATATCTTCTTCATGAGAAAGGTTAGCTTTCGTACCATCGCCACTTTTACATTCCCATGAATAATGTCCAAATTGATGACAAGTATAACATTTAACTTGTGACTTGTCATACCTCTTTTGATATGGTCTTGCTCCTCCTCTGCCATGTCCTCTTGTTGAGTTGGATTGATAATTTTCATCTCTACATTGAAATGAAATATGGTTACCTCTTCATCCTCTTCCAAAGCCTCATCCACGCCCTCGTCCTTTGAAACTTGTATTTCCATTTTCTTCTTTGTTTTTCAATGTGAGCTTTGATTGTAAAACCTGCTCCAATGGCTCCTTCCTTCTTCGATTAAGCTTCTCTTCATATGCTTCCAATGATCCGCATAATTCTTCAATTGTCATATCTTCCAAGTCCTTCGCTTCTTCAATGGCAGTCACCACGCGATCAAATTTCTCACTAACCGATCTAAAGATTTTCTCAATCACCCTTAAATCGGTCACATCTTCATCAAGCCTCTTCATTTGGTTTGCAACGGTCACCACTCTTGAAATATAATCCGACACCTTTTCGGATTCCTTCATTTGAATAGCTTCAAATTCACCTCGTAGATTTTGAAGGTGAACTTTTTTTGCCTTCTCCTTTCCTTTGCAGGCAACTTGAAGCATAACACATAATTGTTTTGCTGTAGTAGCATTAGAAACCTTTTCAAAAGTGGCCTCATCCAATGCTTGGTGAATAAAAGAAACAACCTTTTGATCCTTCCTCTTAGTGTTTTGTAAAAGATCCCTTTGTGCTTGGGTGAGAGCAGCTAGATTGGTGAGAGCCTCATAACCATTCTCCACGATGTCCCATGCATCATGTGCACCAAGTAGTGCCTTCATGCGGATGCACCAATTATCAAATTTCTCTTTGGACGATTTTGGAACTTGGAAGGGAATCATGTTGGTATTTGCCATTGTTTCTAGTATTGTGGCTCTAATACCACTTTGTAGGAAATAGAAGTGGACTTAGGAGGAGGAAATGCTTTTCTATTCAATTGTGGACTTACATTCAACTCAAGATTACATAGGTATTTATAGGACTTCCTATCACATAAGTTCATCCCCTCAATTTAATTCTACTACATGCACCACAATTTACTAGGTACACATTAATTAATAATACATGCATACATGAACCACAATTAACTAGATGCATATTAATTAATAATACACGTATTTCAAACTTCTGAATTCATGAAACTAAATTAAATAGGTTAAATGCATGTTTATTTTTCTAACAAATTGCATATTCATGACTAAAAGAGTTCAACCAACAAAATAAGAAGAGAACTATACTACAGGTAACTAATATGAGTACAAGATTCCCGGCTTCTAGGCTTTCCACCCGGTTGAGAGATACGACGAGTCAAGCATTTGCAGTTAGAGAAGTTCCTTTCGTGTCTATTCGATAATCGACTATGTCAATTGAACTGCTCAATTCCTTCATAGATAATGTTGCATGTTACATTCCTTAAATCTCTCTCTCTCTCTCTCTCTCTCTCTTTGAAAGGTATATTCCTTAAATTTCATCGTCATATTTCAGTTGAAAATTGAAATTTTCATCCCATAACTAACATTTAAAAGACAAACGACTGAAATCAAAAACAATTCAACATTTTTTTGGGTAGTCTTGTAAAAGGATTACTTAATTATATGAACACTGTAAAACTAGTAAGCTGTAAAGATCAACTTGTTTGGCTATAGACGGTTACAGAGACCACAAAAGATCTTGTGTTTGTATAAACAGTAACTTTTGCAAGTGAATTCTTGTGCAGAATTTGGAGTTTCAAATTTATTTTTATTATTTCTTCTTTTATCTCCTTTTTTTGTTGTCAAACAATATTAACATACATGGTCAAGATTTATATTTTTTACAAAGTTGACATACGAGAAGATAACAAAGTTGACTATGAGTAAACAATGAATTTGAACCACATATTTTATGGGAAACACAATTTTTCAACAATATATTTCATCAATTTTGATTAAAATTTTCTAAATATCTTATTTTAATTCACCCCAAACATGAGCTTAACTGACAATGTTTTTTTCCATGCGACAATGTTGCCATAATATTTGACATTTTTATGCCAGTAGTCAACTTACTACTATTCATTATTTTTCGAACTTGAGACAGACTATAATAAATATAAGCGAAGATTTTTTCTATTGTCATAATACATTATATTATTCATTGATTGTTGACCCAACGCAATCCTTTTTTTTTTTGGGGCCTCACACCGACAAGGAGAAACATCGTCCAGAATTATCATGGGCATGTACATCAATAGCATCATCGTTGATAGCTAAAATTGAGCAAACTTGAAAATGTAGGAAATGTATATGAAACAAAAGCATACATGAAATTAATGGCACTCAAACAAAGGCTCTCATAAACTCAATGTTAGCAACAATGACAAGACAACATCTTATGACAAAGCAATAAGACAAGTCCAATTATCACACGAAAGAATAATCTTGAAAGATGATTCGATGACTCTTAAACCAATCCATCAATTTAATTATATGAAATCAAACTATTAGATATTTAGTTGAAATAAACTATTCATGGGGATTTTGGTACTTCTGGCGATGTGGGTTTGGATAGTTCAAGCTACTTAGGAATCGGGTTTTGGAACTATTGGCAATTCCGCCTCAGACAACAGAGGCAACTCAGATTTAGGTGGGAGCTTTGATTTTGGCAATGTTGACGCCTCAAGTTTCAGCACTGTAGGCACCTCAAGTTGTGGCATTGTGGGTAACTTTGGCTTAGGCAGTTTATGGTTTTGGTGGAAGCTTTGACTTTGGCACTATTGGGACCTCGAGTTTTGGCACTATTGGCACTTCGGGTTTTGGTGGGAGCTTTGGCTTTGATAATGTCGACAACTCGGGCTTAGGCAATTCAGATTTTAATGGAAGTTCTGACTTTGACAATGTTGGTACCTTAGATTTGGGAATTGTAGGCAATTCGGGCATAGGTAATTCATGTTTTTGTGGGGAGTTCAGGTCTTGACAATGTTCGTATCTCCGGTTTAGACAATTCAGATTTTTGTGGAAGTTCTAGCTTAGGGAATGTTGGCATCTCGGGTTTCAGAGGGAGCTCTAGTTGTTAAATGGGTTTCAACCCATGATGAATAAAAGGCCCAAACACTTCTTTATTTTCTTTTAGGTCAACAAAAGCGGCGCGCACGTACACATATATATGGTCCCAAAAGCATGGCTGTGTGTGCAAGAAGATAAAAACTGAGGTTGCTGGAAAGAAACTTAATCTGTGGCTGCTACATAGAAAATATAAAAGAGACTTTGGCCGGTAAAAAACAAAAGAAAACCAAGTTGTTGGAAGAAAGAAAAATAATTGGGAGGGAAGTTTTCTTTCAATCCTTTGGGTGTGGATTCGCACAAGATTTTTCTTCTCTACATAATACAAATTGGAATTTTCTCTAAGGTTTATTTTGGGTACTTCATAGGTGCTGTATTCAAAGTGGGTTCTCACAAATTTAATCAAATTAGTGATTTGTGGTGAGATAAAATTGTTATCTTAGAGATTAATCATTGTGGTACTTTCAATTTCTTAAGAATTCAAGTTTTGAGGCATAAAATATTATAATCTATATTTTTATTATAGTGGATTTTGAGGCATAAAATATTGTAATCTATTATTATTTACTTGCATATTTAATCACTCTAGTTGGTTGCTTGGATTGGTGAATTTATTCTGGCAATAAATGAAATTGCCTAACAAAGTGGTATCAGAGCTCAGGTTGTGTGGGTGTGATCTATTGCGGGAATAAATGGAAAATACTTCGGTCATTACAAATTATTCTATTTGAAAACCTGTGATCGAGAATATCCTTTATTGTAAAGATTTACATGAACCTATTGAAGGTGATGGTGCGAAATCAAGCAATATGAGTGATAGTGACTAGAAGAAGATGAATAGGAAAGCCATTGGATATGTTAGACAATGGGTTGCCTTAATGTATTTCATCATATATCTTAAGAGACAAATGCCCATAGCCTTTGGAAAAAAATTATAGAGTCTCTATGAGAGAAAGACTACTCAAAATAAAGCTTTTACTATTAGAAAGCTTGTGAATATGAAGTTAAAAGAGGGAAAATTAGTTGATGAGCATTTGAATGAATTTCAAGACTTGGTAAATCAGTTGACCATAATGAAAATAGTGCTATATGATGAGATGCAAGCACTATTACTTCTGAGTTCATTGCCTGATAGTTGGGAGACTTTTGTGGTATCACTTATTAACTCTACTCCGAATGGTGCGCTTGAACTTACTCTAGTTCAAAAAATAGTTTGTTTAATGAAGAAATATGAAGAAAAAACTTGGGTAGGAATGATGGACAGGCTCTTATCACAGAGAACAGAGGAGTGAGCAAAAGCAGATGTCCTAAGGGATGCGATAATTTCAAAAGTTAGTCAAAGACAAGAGAAAATGTCAAATGTTTTTATTGTGACAAAGAGGGCCATATAAAGAAACATTGCATGACTTGGAAAAATAAATTGAAAGAGGAGAAGAAAAAAGACTGATCAGAATACAGCCGTTAGCGCTTCAGATGAAGAAATAGTAGTGGCAGTTTTTTCCACTAATGAGTAGTGTGTCATGTTGCAGATTTATTTGTTGAATGGGTTATTGACTTAGCAGCTTCTTACCATGTTACTCTAAGACGGGAGTTCTTTACTTCATACAAATCAGTTTGCTAGTATTGTGGAAATTGGTGATATCTGTCTGAAGACAGATAGGATGCAGCTTAACATTGAATAATGTGCGACATGTTCCTGAATTCGCTATCTACATATGCCTTTGATGAAGTAGGGTATGACATTTATTTTGGCAAAGGGTCGATGGTATTTGTTAAAGGAAAGATTTGTTGCACAATTTACAAAACACAAGCAAAGGTGTGTAGTGAAGCGATGAATGCAATTGAAAGTGATTTATCACCAGACTTGTGGCACAAGCGGTTGGCTCACATGACCGAGAAATGATTACAGATTTCGGTAAGGAAGTCATTTATCCCTTTTACAAGAGGTACATCAATTCATGTCATTATTGTTTACTTGGTAAACAACATAGAGTTTCTTTTCAAAAATTCTCTAGTGAAAAATTTAATATTTTTTATTTGATTTATTCTAATATGTGTGGTCCCATTGAGGTTGAGTCCTTAGGTGGTAATAAGTATTTTCTTACTTTTATTGATGATGCTTCACGAAAGTTGTGGATGTTCTTTTTTAGATTAAAAGACTAGGTTTTCCAATACATCAAGAAGTTTCATGGCATCGTGGAACGGGAAAGTGGAAATGTTTTGAAGTGTCTCCGAACTGATAACGAATGGGAATACACATCTAAAGTGTCTAAAGATTACTACTCAGAACACAGTATTAGACATGATATGACAGTTTCCTGGTACTCCACAACATAACGGTGTAGCAGAGAGAATAAATCATACCATTGTAGAAAAGGTCAAAAGCATGTTAAGGATGGTCAGGTTACCTAAATCATTCTGGGGTGAAACAGTTTGAACAGCGTGCTACCTAATCAATCGGTCTCCATCAGCTCCTTTGGATTTTAAGATTCCAGGAAAATTGTAAACTGGAAAAGATGTTTTATATTCTCGTTTAAAGGTTTTTAGGTGCAAAGTATTTGCATATGTAGCTAAAGAACAACGGTTGAAGCTAGATGATAAAGTTAGTCCTTGCATTATTGTTGGCTACGGGATGCAGAATTTGGTTATAGATTATGGGATCTAGAAAAGAAGAAAATAATCAAAAGAAGAGATGTGATCTTTCATGAAAATCAAAAGTTGACAGATTTTGAGAAATTGAGGATTCAAAGACGTGTTAATAAAGGTGTCACTGACCTTACAGCTGTCTCTTTGTCTCCGGATGGTGCCACTCAAGG